TGGGCCAGGAGGCCGACCTTTTGACTGAAGCGCTTTCCACAGGTGGTGCAGGTGTGGGGGGCCTGAGGGGGATGGCAGCCCTGGTGGTGCCGCAGCATCTCCCTCTTGCTGCCAAAGTGGTCCCCACAGGCTCCACAGACATGTGCATTCGGCCGCTCATGGGTCCGCTGATGCCGGGTGAGGTGGATCTTCTGCCTGAAGCACCGCCCGCATGCAGGGCAGGGGTAGGGCTCCTCCCCGGTGTGAATCCTCTGGTGGGTCACCAGCACTGACTTCTTCTTGAACTCCTTCCCGCAGGAGCCGCAGCGGAAGATCTTCTCCCCCGCTGGAGTGGATTCAGCCACGATGGCCCTGGTGGCATCCCGCTGGGCCCCCTTGGTGCTGTGGACCCGTTGGTGCTTGATGAGGGTGATCTTCTGGCGGAAGCCACGGCTGCACACCCCACACTTGAAGGGACAGTCACCCGTGTGGATCCGGTGGTGGGCCACCAGCTGCGACTTGTCCACGAAGCTCTTCTGGCAGCCGCTGCATTGGTAGGGCTTCTCACCTGTGTGGATCCGGCGGTGCACGATGAGCTGTGACTTCTGTGTGAAGTTCTTTCCACAGTCCAGGCACTTGTATGGCCGCTCGCCCGTGTGGATCCTCTGGTGCTCCTTGAGTTGTGATTTGGTGATGAACCTCTTGCCGCAGTCGGTGCAGGGGAACGGTCTCTCACCTGTGTGAGTCCGGAGGTGCTTGGTGAGGTCCACCTTCATCTTGAAGCTCTTCCCGCACTCGGTGCAGGCATGGGGCTTCTCCCTTCTCTCAGGATCAGTCTGTGTGCTGTGCTTGCTATGGCCTTCCCCATTGGCCTCCTCTCCAGCTCTGATGGCTTCTTGGTCATGCAGCTCTCCAGCCCGGTCAGCATCGCCCTCCTTCTCACAGCCTTCAACCTCTGTCTCCTCCTTATGGGATTTCTGGTGGGCCGCCAGGATGCCCTTTTGCTTAAAACTGTCCCCACAAATCATGCAAGTGTACGACTTCTCCTGAGTGTGGCTAAGAAAATTCTCTACCTCCAAGACCTCCAGCGCCATCATGGCTGGCTGTTCCATCACCTGGTTCTTCAGAGGCGGGGGCCTGGGTGGTGTTCACTAGGAGAGGCATCGCTGGGAATCCTCCTGGCCATTGCCACCAGTTTTTCCTGCCTGCCCGGGCTGCTGGGAGGTAGGGACCATGGGAAAGTGCCAGCACTGGTTTGAGTTACTCTTCTTTAGATGAAAGACTATGGTTTCCTTCATGAGGGCTGAACCTGAGAAGAAACCAAGGCAGGTGTTATTGTCAAGGCCAACAGGAAAAAAAAACCAACAAAGAAAGCACTTTTACTGTGGTAAGCTGTCATGTGGAAAAGAAAATCATAAATAAAAGCCCAGCCAAGCTTAGTTAATTCTAGTAAAACCAAAGGCCAAGAGACTATAAAATCTAGGAAGGGGTTGAAGGAGGTTGGTGGAACTGCCTGGCACAGGCTGGAGTTTCTCCACGTCTCCAGGTACTCATGACAAGAAACTGATGGTTTGGGGGGCTCCTCCTGCTGTGCTGATCTCTAAGCAGGAACCAACACCGCTTTTCCTTCAGAGGGGTGGTAAAGGCTGGTGGTCATAACCATCAGGCACCAACTCACGGTCATCAGCACCTCTAGAAGTAAATTCCTCTCAGAGAGGGGCACACCCAGACTCAGTTCTGGAGGATCCCTGGGGTGGTGCAATCCCTGCTCTGATCCAGGATGACCAGGCCAGGGACCGGGGCCAGGGCCAGGGCCAGACACGTCCCATGTGAAGCGTGGTCACTGAGACCACCTGCGCCTCCTTCAGTGCACTGGCAGAGAGGGACCTTCTGGGACAAGGGGAAATGTTGAGCAAATAGCTGCTTGTCTCTGGGACGTATCACGTTGCACTCCCCGGCCTCCAGACAGCACTGAAATCTCACATCTGTGAAACAGAACTGCCCGAGCATTGTCTGAGGCTCATCTGGCTGTGCGAACCCCATGGGGGTCCCATCCCTCAGCAGGTGCCCATTTATTTCTCTAGAGATTTTGTGTCACGTCCACCTCGGTGAGCAGACAGGGACATCTGGGTCACAGCTGCAGCCAGACAGGCTGACGGCAGAAGCGAAACTCACACCGATGTCCTCAGTTCCCCATGCAGCACCAGGCCAGACACCAGAGCCTGTGCAAAGCTGCTGGGGCTGGTGGCCAGGAAGACATCCAAATGGATGGAGAAGTCCTCCTGGTGTCCAGGAAGACAGCAAGGACCCAACTCCTTCCCCCGGCCCCTTGCCCTGCGGTTTGACTGCTGAAGGTCCAGCTTTGCCTTGGTGCCGGCTTCAATTTGCAGGTTGTCACGCCTGACCCATGAAGGGTGCAGCCACAACACCACCAGCATTGTTGACCCATCTGCATGAAAAGTCCAGGCTGAAGAAGCACCCCATTTGCCATAGACTTTCTTCAGGGGAAAACCAGCACCAAACTGCCCCAAGAACTTCTCTGGGGCAGCTCCTGGGGAGGGGTCCCTGACGGTGGTCCAGCCAGCCAAAACCCTCTGCTCCCCTGCTCCTTGACTCCCAAGTGCCCCAAAGTGATGAGACATCCTGAGCAGCCCCTGCCCGACCCCTCAGCTGAGCAAAGGGAACCCTGATCCAGCCATCCCAGCAGGCATCCGCGGCGTTCGCAGCACCTCTGCTCCTTTCTCACCAAGAGAAAGGATGGGTGTTGGGTGAGATTGTTCTCTGGGAACCTTTCAGGCTGAGAAACGGATGTTGCTTTTACTCTCTGTGGCGACCAACTTTTCCGAGCCCAGAGACGACTCCGGGCAAACTTTCCTCTCTGGCTGTTTCATGCGCTGGGCTGTTTTTCCCGGAGGTGGCTGCATGTCAGCACAGCTGCCTGGATTTCACTTGTGAAACACATGAACGTGAGCAGCTCCTCAGCTGTTGCTCTGCTCCTTTCGCTGGGAATAACCCCCCCCACCAGCACACACACACAGACACACGCAGGCACAGGCAGGCACAGCTCCTCCTCGCAAGGCAGAGGCTGGACCTATTAACTCATTCCCACCCATTCCTCCAGCACTCCTGCAAGCACTTGTCACACAGATGCCCCAGAAACATCGTTTTGGGGCAGATTTTAAAGGATGGACGCCCCTTCCTGTGTTGCGCTGCTGTCCCTGCTCCCTGCGTTTAGCCAAGCCGCCGGCTCCCACGCCGAGCAGGACCAGCTGTACCTCTGACTCCACCGGTCGCCTCCAGCCAGGGGAGCAAGCCAGATCTCTCAGGCAGGATTCAGCCTGAGAAAGACAAGCAGGGCGATTTATCCCAGCCAGGGCAGTTTGCTCCACCACAGCCAACCTTGAGAAACACTCCGGCTTCACAGCGGTGACCCCAACTTCCAGAGATGTCCTGCTGCTGCCCTGGGATGCTGCGGGACACAAGCAGACACCATGGAGGGGTTCAGCTCTGAGCATCCCATCCTGGCCCCAGACATCCCAGCTCAGCCGTTTACTGACCTGTCTCCCATCTCCCTTAGCGCGTCTGGAAGTGTCCAAGTGTCATTGGCCAAATTTTCTTATTTCTACCCACTTTGAGCTCTTCTTCGTCTTCCAGCTACTTCGTTCACGTCCGCTGGTGCTGACTCACAGGAAGTCTGTGTCAGCGATGTAAAAACTACCGGGGGAGGAGAGACAGAGAAAGAGGAGCTGGGTCAGGGAGGGAAGGGGCTTGGGGGTAGGAAACAACAGCCCTAAAACCTCTCGGGCACGGGTGGGGGGATCCCCAGCCAGCGCTGCCTCCCTGCTGGTACCCCTGCCTGGCTGCCCAGCGCCTGGTCCCCGCACAGGTGCTGCCTGGGCTGCAGGCTCCTGGGAGCTGTAGTCCTCAGTGGGGGTGCTGCTCGCCCGTTCGCTTTGGAGGATGTCTACGTTTGGTGGCTGGGGGTTGTTTTAGGGAAATGCAGTGCCCATGCTGCAGCAGACTGGAAGCAGCTTTTGATTTACAGTAGTTCTCTTTTTTAATGGTTATTTTTAGGCAGCTGAACTTCACTGCTTTGCATTAGAAGTCCCCATTACGTACCTCCCAGCACTCACTGTGGATGCTTTCACTATCCGTCCATGTGGCTGACCCCCTTAGAGTTGTGCAAGCAAGAAAAGTCATCCTCTTCTCCTCTTCCATGACCTTTTTGTCTGTGGATCTCAAAACTGCAAATGGGAAATGCAGTGAGGTGACTTGAAAGGGGACGTTTGGTGAGACAGTGGCAGAGCCCAGGTCTGCATCCTCTGCTAGACACAGTGGAGGGGGTCTACACCCAGAGAGTCCAAGAAAATTGTTTTCTCCATGTGGCTGAGAGTCTCCTTGTGAGTGTCCAGCTCCCAGGGGATGGCTGGACTGCCTGTTCCTGGGTGCTTCGTAGCAGTTAGCAGGCTGCCTGGATTGGGCTGTGGTTATAACCAGCAGCACTGATGCCTACAGAAATCCACAGTAGATCTGCCAGTCCTGCCAGTCTGGGTCACATAGAAGGTCCTGGAGCATTTGGTGGCTGCTGGACATGTGCTAATTTGGGGTGATGGAAAACCCAAGCCATATCTCTGAAACAAATGGTGATGTTGCTGGGCACCGGAGCACAATTTTCTCAACTCTCATGTCTTTACCTGAAACTTTTAGCCTGAGTCAGAGCTGGAGCCAGGGATGAGTCCCAGGGCAGAGCTGGATGATGCCATCCTGAATGGAGTTTAGCTGTATGGATGCAAGCCAGCTTGGTGCCTTCAGGGCTGGAGAAGTGTCCTCTGCTCAGCTGAACTACTCATACAGACACAGCCATTGGCCTGGCTGTTTATCACTAGCACCTTGCAGACAGCAGCTTGGGTAGTACAGGTTAAAGTGTTGGGGGAGACACACTCTCAGAATTAGGACTTTTGAAAAAAATAGTAATTTTAAAAAAATGAAAATAACTGTACTGTAAAAAAGGAGTTCGTCCTGTGTTGGTGGTTGACTGTTTTGTGCTCCTTGTGTTTTCTGATTTCAAATATGTGCTCGCTGGTGCCTCTTAGAAGCCAGACCAATGTCTCCTGACATCCTTATTCAGATGAAATGAGTTCCCTCATGTTTCAAAGCATGACATGAGGGAACAGAAGAGAGGGATGAGGGTGTGCATCTGACATGGGTTGCTTGTGGGATTTTGTGTAGATCCAAAGTTTTGCCTCAGATTCCCCATCTCTAAAATTGGGCCAAGATACTGTAACTGTTATTTCTGTCTTTTATAGGAATTTAGTATCCTCAGGAAGAAAAAAGTTATTATATTCCATTTTTGAAACCTTGGAAAAAACATCTCCAGGCTTCCTTGACCTTTTGGGTAGGAAGTCGGACCCTCTGCATCACCCCATGTCACACTCCTGCCTAACAAGTGGCTTGCCAAGTGACCACAAAAAGCAGTGACACTGGCATTCTCTTTGGTTCTCTCTTCCCAGTTACAAAATAGTAAAGGACAAAAACCAGGAGCAAGTGAATGTTTTTATGTCCTCTTTTTGTTTTGTTTGGCTTTTTTTTTTAGTTAAGGAAGTGAGGTGACACAGGCATGGGGAGTAGCAACCTCATGCTGCTGTTATGCTCACTTAGCAGTGAGGAGCCTTTGAAAGGGGAGTCCTGCTCCTTGCCACCGTCTGTGCCCATGCTCCCTTGAATGGGACCGAGTGACTGCAGGTGCAGCGTGAGTCAATTTAGCTGGATGACTTGGGAAAGCACCCTGAAAAAAAAAAAAAGAAAAATCCTTTAAGAGCTTTCT